GTACTGTATAAACCTGATGTTTATAATGTTTTTGGAATGACTACATGTACAGTATACCGTTTAAAAGTGTAGGGTAGGTATGATTTTTAAGGTTTTTGGCTGCAATTATTTGATTTAAAAAATACAGTAAAAACAGTAATATTGTGAAATATTATTACAATTTCAAAGAACCATTTTCTATTGTAATATATTTTAAAATGTGATTTTATTCCTGTGATCAAAGCATCATTAGTGTCACATGATCCTTCAGAAATCAGTGTAATATGCTGCTCAAGAAACATTTCTTAGAATTAAAACAGCTGTGCTGCTCAATATTGTCATGGAAACCATGATAGGCTACATTTTAAATGTCTTTACTGTTGCTTTTGATCAATTTTGCTGAATAAAAGTATACATTTCTAATAACACGTGCTGTGGTGACACCATGATATAAGAGCAAGTGAGCATATTTACAGTACTAAATGATTTTCATAGATTATTTACATGGTTCTACTTAAAAGAATAGCATCTCATATCTCCACCATCATGTCTGGAGACACTACACCTGCTGCAAGACAGCTATATGAAGGAACGATATAAACACATGGCACGCAATCCACTGATCTGTCATAATCCACTATAATGTGCATTTTAGTGCTGTCAAATCAATTAATCGCATCCAAAATAAAAGTTTTGCTTTTATGTGCATGTACTGTGTATATTTATTATGCATATATAAGTAAATGCACACACATACAGCATGAAAATATTTACATGTATATATTTATATTCATATAATTTATATTATATATAAATGTAACTTAAATATATACTTGCATGTTTGTGCATTTATATATACATAATAAATATGCACAGTACACACACATATATTATGTAAACAAAAACCTTTATTTTGGATGCGATTAATCGCGATTAATCATTTGACAGCACTAATTTTTATATTATATTCTATAATAAAAGAATATAACTTTGAGCCGTTCTCCCATCTAGCCACTTCATTTTTATTATTATTATTTTTTTTAATATCTGAAATATTCTTTTGTCACATTTCTATTAAGTATATACATTTCAAAGGCTGGTGACAAATGGAAATCTCTGTAAAATGATTTTTAAAAATCCTCGTTCATTTATAACAAAAGTCTTACCAGTTACACTAGTATTTGGCACAACCTTACTGATATGCATAAATGAGTAAAAATACTTGTAGCTTACCTTTTGGCTAAATTAAACAGAACAAGGCAAGAAAAATGAGGCCGTACATGCTGTCTGAAGACTTTACAGGCCAAAGAAAGAGAAATGTACAGTCCCCCAATTTACTGGTTAAAAGATGCTTTTCTCTGAGCAGTGTATATGTGTGTGTTGTTATTATTTTTTCAGGTTTGGCCGTTACTTTGAGACTCCGCTGCTTTGGCAGAGTATAATCATGATCATCACGATGTTAATCATGCTGAACCTGTGCACCAGCGTCCGCATGGCCACCGAACTCAACACCAAACGCCGCTCCTTCACAGGTGACAAACTTTAGGACTCTTTACAACCTCTTTATCCAATTGAGTGTGTGTGTGTGGAGCTGCAGACGGAAGTTTATCAGCATTCTTTTATTCCCAGATTAATGAATCAACTGGTTCTGTAGTTTACAGACTATTGAATTACAGTCCGTGATACAGTCACATGGTCAGGGTCTTTCTTTGAGCGTGTCTCGTGAGATTATCACACAAGAAGGGCCTCTGAAGTGGATGAACTTTGAACGGCTGGCTGCTTGGTGAACATCTCAGCTTTATTTATTGTTGGGTTGTGGTACAAAGTTAACAAAAGATGAGTTTGTTCTCTCAAACTGAGCCAGAGCACTGAACTTTGCATGTATTGTATACAGTGTACTAATTTTTAAGAATAATATGTGATGCAGTATATAGTAAGTAATGCTTCAGTCTAGTGTTTCTAAGTATACATACTGCTGAATGAAGAATATGCTTATTTAGAAACACTCCCTGGACACATTTGTTAGAGCTAATAGTCTCTCACTCTTCTGTTTGCACAGGACGTCCTGTTTAATCGGTTTTTATCTATTAGTGTAAAGCCGTACCCAAGTGTGTCTTTATGGGTTGACTGTTGTCTTTAGATCATGTCACTGATGTTAAGACAACAGTTTGACAGCCGGAGCCGTTTTGATCACGACACAAACAGAGCTAGCTTCACATCATGCCACTTGCAAACACTCCAGCGGCTTCTCGACAGATGGAGAATGTTCAGAATTACCAGATGAAGCAAGGAAACAACTGTAAAATTAATTGAATCAAGATCCAAACCAACATTGAAATTCAAGTCTTAAGGTTCCCATGATCTCATGATCTTACACATGAAAATGAATGACCGTCATATATAACTTTTGACAGAACAGAAGGCTTTCATAGTTGCCAAGGCTGCATTTATTTGATTCAGTAAACACAGTGATATTGTGAAATATTATTACAATTGAAAATAACTGTGCTCCGTTTGAATACGTTTCAAAATGTAATTTATTCCTGTGACGCAAAGCTGAATTTTCAGCATCATTACTGCAGTCTTCAGTGCCACATGATCCAAGAAACATTATTATCACAGTTGAAAACCGTTTTGCTAAATATTTTTGTGCAAACCGTGATACACGACCATTCAAAGGTCTGGGTTAAGTATGATTTTATAATAAAAATAACAGAATGATTTCTGAAGGATCACGTGTCCATGTAAAATGAAATTTTAAAATGTATTGAAATAGAAAACAGGTGTTTTTTAAATAATAATATTTAACAATATTACAGTGTTAACTGTATTTTTTTAACAAATAAAACTTGAAAAAATCTTAATGATTCCAAACTTTTGACTCGTAGCGTATCTGGTTCACATTTGAAAAAATTGAGATGAAAAATTACAGAATGTTTTGCTTAAGAAAAATGAAACTAGTTATCATAACAGAATGATTTCTGAAGGATCACGTGTCCATGTAAAATGAAATTTTAAAATGTATTGAAATAGAAAACAGGTGTTTTTTAAATAATAATATTGTAACTGTATTTTTTTAACAACTAAAACTTGAAAAAATCTTAATGATTCCAAACTTTTGACTCGTAGCGTATCTGGTTCACATTTGAAAAAATTGAGATGAAAAATTACAGAATGTTTTGCTTAAGAAAAATGAAACTAGTTATCATGAAAATAATGTCACATATCATAATGGTCCAACAAAAATAGGTTTTTCTTTTTCTTTATGAAAAATAGTTCCTTTTCAGCTGATTTTGGGGTGAAATATGACCTGCACATGTTTTCACGAGTTTCATCCCTTCAGGGCTTTTTGTGTCCTCGTGAAGATGGAGCGATGCAATCTCCCTGTTCTTATTTTTTGTTTATTTGTCTTATTTGTCTGAAGCAACAGACAGTAAGGATGAAGAAATCAAAGTTCCTAAGAGGCTCTTTCTGGGTATGTACTGATGTGTTGCCCACAAAACACCAGTCTGATATTTATAGATTAATTTTTTTCATCCATCATCCACCCCGCTCATTTCCTCCCTACTCTCTATTAACCCTGAAGTTTCACTTGCATGCATCTAAAACAGACATAAGAGTACAAGTATAAACTACAAACGCATGTTTCATTAGTGATAGATGCAGTTTTGCATGTATTCTGTTGATTTGGATGCTAAAATTCCAGTGTTGCATGCAAATAGATATCAATTGAATTGCTATCAGTTTGTGTATGGCTCGCATGAACTATTTAGTCAAAGAACTGTTTCGTGCTTCTAACAGCTCATTTAACTGGTCGCCAAATCAGTAATTGAGTAATATTGTATACCGCTGCATGCTGTGCTATATTATACTGCTGTATTCTTCTTGATGGCTTTATGATTTAACCCTGTAACACTTGGCTTTGGCTACTGCACTGATGATGATTGTAATGTCACATGACGGTCTACTAACAGTTAAAGGCAGAGTGAGGGATTTTTCAAAAATACTTTAAAAACTGATTCGGGCCGAATCGCAAAACAAACTTGTAGCCAATCAGCAGTAAGGGGCGTGTCTACTCGTGATGTACATTACATAAGCATGTGTTCACTGAAAGCGGCACTCTTGGTTTTTGTTGCTGTACATGAACAGCAGGTGGCGATAGTGGTTAATACCTGAGATCTGCTCTTGTACAGTCTGATTGATGCACTCTTATGCTTTACCTCCCACATCTGCCGACTTTCTGCACATATGTGCACCGATTTAATTTTTTACTGGTAACTATGTCCTCCATCTGAGGGCATTTGCTGGAGAGAATTCAACTGGGTTTTGAAGAAAGAATGGTGTTATTGACGGCAGACGATGCCAGATGTCAGGTGTTCGCAGCACATGTGCTGGAGTTGCTATTTAAGATGCGCTTGTGTCTCGTTGAGGTCCTGTGGTTGTCGGGCAGCTGCTGTGAATGCCGTCTCCTCTCACTGGAGCAAATGTGAAGGTCTTCAGTCCAGTTTTAGGATCAGTCATTTAACCTTGAACTCCCATACTTCAATAGAGTTTGACCAGAAAATGAAAGTAGTTTCTTCTGTTTACGCTGCTCCTTTCCGTACAAACTTAAAGCAGTTATGAGATTTGGGTGAACTATTCTTTTAGGGCTAATGTCTGTTTATCAGTTTCATGTGAAGTCAGTAAATTACTCTTTGAAATATGTGACCCTGGACCACAAAACCAGTCTTAAGTGTCAATTTTTCAAAATTGAGATTTATAGATCATCTGAAAGCTGAATAAATAAGCTTTCCATTGATGTATGGTTTGTTAGGACAATATTTGGCCGAGATACAACTATTTGAAAATCTGGAATCTGAGGGTGCAAAAAAATCTAAATACTGAGAAAATCGCCTTTAAAGTTGTCCAAATTAAGTTCTTAGCAATGCTTATTACTAATCAAAAATTAAGTTTTTATATATTTACGGTAGGAAATTTACAAAATATCTTCACGGAACATGATCTTTACTTAATATCCTAATGATTTTTGGCATAAAAGAAAAATCTATAATTTTGACCCATACAATGTATTTTTGGCTATTGCTACAAATATACCCCAGCGACTTAAGACCGTTTTTCTGCTCCAGGGTCACATATGACAATATAATTGTATGAATATGGAAATCAAAGGATTTGGTTCTCATGCTTTTTGGCTATAGATTAGATTTTTTTTATTTATTTATTTTTTATTGACAGAAACCTAATATATTGATATATTAATTTGATTGGTTTTGAGATTCCAAAATGTATTCAGTAAAAACCATAGTTATTATGCGGTCATTGTCGTTATGGATTTCAGTTTGATTTCTTGATTTTATGCAATTTTCCGCATTTTAATCTAGATTAGATGTAGATTGTTTCAATATATCAATAGTAATTTATTAATTTAAATGCTTTTAAAGAGGTAGTTCACCCAAAAATGAAAATTCAGTCATTATTTACTCACCCTGGTGTGGTTTTAAATGCTGTATGAACTTCTTCTTTTTTTTTTTCTTTTTGTGGGGAAATTTTGAAAAATGTCCTGTTCATGCTTGTCCATATAATGGTAGTGAGTAGCAACCAACATCCAGATTAAAAAAAGAAAAAGATATTCCCATCCAACATGTGCCAAATATAGGTGTTCTGGTGGTATACGATAGGGTTTTATTGAAAAACAGACCGAAATTTAATGTATTACCGAAAATTATTTTTTAATTAAATTTTTAAGGTACTGTATTAATGACCGTGTGCCAGTGCAAGCAGATTTTTTTTTCTTTTTGTTGTTCGAAAAAGAAAGTAGGGCATATGACATTAGAACAACACCAGGGTGAGTAAATGATTACTTAATTTTCATTTTTGGGTGAACTATCCTGCCCTTGAGAGTATGCTGAAGCCTCTAGTGGGCCCCGACTCCCTGAGAACCACTGGTTTAGATTTAAGACTAGTTTAGTCCCTTAAGACTTGGTGGTGTGGTGGTTAAAGATCTGGGCTAGTAGCCAAAATGTTGTAGGTTTGAATCCTGCAAGGGGCGACCCCTTTTCTCACCATTTGTTCAAGATACTGAACCTCAGGTTACTCCAAGAGGGATTTTCCCTGTAATAAGTGTACTGCAGATCAATACGAAATCAATTACTGAATTAGACTGGACACAGTATGCCCTGAAATATACGGTGTATTCAGAAAGTATTCAGACCAAATGTGCATTTTATTCACATTCTGTGTTGCAGCCTTTATGCTAAAATGTTTTTTAGACCCTTTTTCACATCAGTCTATACTCTATACCACATAATGGCAAATAAAAAATCAGATTTGTAATAATGTTACATATTTTATTAAAAAGAAGGAAAATTAAATATATTTAATTAAAATTAAATATAATTAAATATGTTTTAATAAAAAAAATTACATGAATTAATAATTTAATGCAAAACATTTTTAAAAATAATTTAAATTATAATAATTTATAAGAATTATTGTAAGCATTTTAGCATAACACTTCAACATATGTAACAACAAATGGTAGTAGTTAGAATACTTTCTGAATGCATTGTACTAAGCATGTATTAAGTATGTGTGTATGTACAGCTTTCATTTTAACTTTAGTTTCAGTAATTTCATGTGCTTTTGTGTTGTGATTTTTATATATATATATATATATAGAGAGAGAGAGAGAGAGAGAGTATGTTTTTTTCTGTTTTAGTTTTAGTAATTTTAGTTCACATTTTATTTCAGTTAGTTTGCCAAGGCAACATTTGTTTGTCTAATTAATTAATTAATTTTTATTTTATCATTACATTTTTTTCAGTTTACAAAAACAATTTTGTTGCAATATTATTTGTGCCTAGTGAGTTTAAATCAGCGAGAGTACTGAGGCTATAGTACTTTTTTTCGTCTAGTTGTAACTGGCAGTTGATGGAAAAGCAGATTTGTTGTTTTCTCTCTCTCTGTGTCACATGGCTGGCTGTATTGATCACGTATGCCCCGCGGCCCCTCACACACCTCATTAGAAGTGTGTTCAGCACTCAGGCCGAGAGGTGTTTGCTAATTGCTGCTTTGCTCGCAAGCTCATTGATCCAGTGGAACTGAATAATGGAGGTGTGCTCCGATCCATCCAGAGGTCAAAGGTCAAGCAGGAATGGGCAGTTTGCTGGTTGAGGGCAGAACTGATATGATATCCGAGCACTTGATAAGTCAGAGTTTTTATCCAGTGCATTCAGATCTCAATTTATCTGTCCATATTTGTCATCCTGGTGATGTCCGTTGTTCAGGTTTGAAGCAGGTGGCGGTTGTTCGCGACTGATTGGCTGTAATTCAGTCCGGTCTCTGGCAGAGATTTCTAAATGTGTTTGATGTAGGGCAGACTGCTGGGGTCCTGGTGGTTGTGCAGTAATGGACGTAAATGGGCGGCACTCCCACACACAGTCTCGCTCCGCTGCATTATCCCTACAGGACACCGCAACCGCCTCAATTAGCATCCAGTCACTGCTATCAGAGAACAGGATGTTTCAAATAAATATGTGTTTTCCCTTAAACTTCCCAAAAACTGCTCGCGCTGCCTGACTGTACATGGACCAAAAGTTCTGTCCATTTTGTCCAACAATCCACTGTAGTCTCTGCTGAAAGTAACATAAACGTTTATTATCCAGTTCTGTTTATCGGGTTATGCAGCGAAATGGTAAAAACTAACAACATACATAATAAGAAGAACTGGGATTTTGATGACGTTTATGCAATAGACACTTAAGTACAAACTGCTTTCCTTTTAATAACATCAAATGAATTTTCTTTAAACTACAGTGCACAATTACTGTAAGTCATAATTGCATAACAATATATATATATATATATATATATATACATAAAAAGAAAAAACTGAAATACCACATTTACATAAGTATTCAGACCCTTTACTCAGTACTTAGTTGAAGCACTTAGCATTGCACAGGATACATTCATTTCTGTGAGACGTGTGCTTCCACTCGCTGTTGTTTCAGTCTTTTACTTTAGATATGCTTTCATTTCTTCCGTTTGGAATGCAGTGTGTATTAGATGCACGAAACTCACGTACTGGCAGACTTTCACATGCGCTTTGTGTTTGTTTGTCCTGAAGCTCGATCGCGGCTGCGGTTAAATGCACTTGCATCTCCGAATACTTTTATGAAATTGCCACTTGCATATAATAACTGACATGGGAAAAATACGTCAAATAGAGGTTCTGAATTTTGGTTTCGATTTATTTTCGATGAATCGTCCAGCCCTATTAACTAGAATTTAGTTTTATAGTTACTTGTTTTTACTATTATTTGCCTCCATTTGCAATAGTTAGTGTCCACATTTGGTCATTTCATCTATTAGAGCAGAGCAGCAAGTTTTTGTGTTGATGTTTTGCAGGGATATTTGCCTTCAAGTGTTCACGTGCCGAGGAGATCTTCAACATGCTGCAGGACATCATGCATA